CCAAGTAGAGAGTGAGATCGTGAAAACCAGTCACGTTACCATTGAAAGGCTTCCAGATATCAAACTGAGTGAATACCGGTATCTCGGCGATCTTGTTAAACGCAGATGTGTAAGCTTTTCTTACATCTATCTCTGTAGTCACTTCTGGGGTATAACAGTATTTGTCGTCTTTGTCTGTCTTAGGGTTATATAACTAATAATGTCTATTTATTTCACCAGTTGGGGGGATGGTGCGACACTCCTTGAAAATCTCTACATCTACTTCGTTATAATATGACTTGTGCGTCGGCTTGAACAGGGCGGTGTTAAAATTAAACATTGCTTTAGACATCTTGTTGGAGATCTGCTCCGTTCTCACGCAGATGGAACCATCTATAGAATTATTCACTAAGTTCTGGGTCTTAACCTTGTATTTAATCTCTTTGTGGCTCTTGCTGTTTATCTTGATCTTAAACTTGAAGTTAAGTTCAGACACACATCCCGCACTAAACCTAACCTGTGGCTCATACCCTGCCTGTTTGCTAAGATAAAAGAGATGAGACAGATCGTAGCCATTATATACCAATGTGTATTCGCTATGCTCTGTGTATTTCCGGATGTCGTCTAGGGATGTGATCATTTTACATGCCACCGGCTCTTCCTTCTCGTTAAGGTGATAATCTGAAGATGCCTTAACAGATATACTATAATTACTGCTTTTGGGTATCATCTGCCGTAACATATTCACATTATCACTTGCCGTGTATATGTGATTGTTCTTCACTATAGCGTATAAGGCTGGGATGTGATGATTTCTCTTTATTGGGTCGCGTTTACAAATTAGAGTATTAAAGACATCATATATTCTGACTTGCAAGTTAAAATGTTCAAATACCTTCGCCATATCTGTTATTGACGCCCCTTTTGTTTTAAAATCGTCTTCCGTCTTATTTATGATTTTAAGGGTGGCTCCTCTAGTGAGTTTGTTCTTCTCTCTCTTGTGATCTCCCATAAGAGTATCCTTATAATAATCGGTCAAGGTGTTAAACCAACACTCGTTCTTAACGTAATGTTCTAGTTTAATGGCTTCCTTGAAGGTCTCATACTGTGGATCTAGTGGTGTCTGAATATATTTGTGATACATGCTGACATTCACTGTGTTTGTTAGATCTTCGTCTTGTGGCTTGAAAGCATCGGCGTTATCTACCCTTTCGGCATAATTAACTTTAATACAGTCAATGTAACCTTCTGCGTAACCAACTTCGGCTCTAAAACTATCATCTGTCAATAACAAGAACTTGAGCCTATAGAACGTTTTAGAATCGGCTTTCTCATATTTGAATATGCGTCTCCCCGCTAAGTTTTCAACCCAAGGTGTTGTCGGAACATTAGCAGTTAAAGGGTTCATGTATACTGGGACATATTCCCTACCCCTGCTGTCTCTAAAAGACGTTTTAATACACCTGTGTCTGCTTCTGTCTTAAGCCTATATAAATGAACGTTGATTGAATATTTTTTTGGTTTTCTCGGGTTGGTTCTTCCCGTTCGTTTGTTGTCTTCTTTTGCTTGTGCCATTCTCTGACCTAGTTGTTCTTTATCCTTGTGCTTGTCGTATAGTTTATTATATTCGTTTTCTGCTTTAGTTGTGTCTTTGTCTGTTTTTGCGGTGGTGAGTTTCCTGATTAAATTGTCTGCTGTGGTGAATTGGGCGATCTTACGACCTGAATAAAGTTAATTATATTTTGAACTTTTGTTCTGGTGGCTTGGTTGATGCGGTTTCGTCTGTTGTTAGAAAATGTTTGTAGTGCTTCTGTATTACGCTTAATGGCTTTGGACATATACTAATATAATTACACTATATATCTATTTTCTTTTTAAGTATAAATTTTCCAAGGATTTTCTAAAATACTAAATGTTTTTTTAATATATAGAAATATGTCTAAAGATAAAAAATAATAATAGTATAGTATAATATGAGTAAAAA